GTTTTAGTCCGATGGGAAGCAGATTTTAAGCGACACCGAAGATAAACCAAAAATGTGGTGGAGCTGCAAACCGTGTAGTGTTGCTGGGACAGGACAGGAGCTATAACCGTTGGAAAATACATCACAGACAATGCAACAAACGTGGAGACAGAACAATCACTTCTGTGATAAATGCCCACTTATTAATAAACTTCTAACAACCATGGGAAACCTCCTCTCTACATATAAAGTGATATCCAAGCATGGGAAACAAAAGACAGCATTTACCTGTTTGCATCCAGCTAGCCAAGCCTTTTTTGTGTACCAGCTACTTGCGAAGCCTCGTGTATACGTTTTGTCTTTTTCACGAGATTGCTGCGATATATTCAAATCGGGTTGGTCCAAGGTCTTTAAGCAACAATTTATCTGCCAAACTTCTCCTTTCGAAAGGATTGGAGATTAGCTCTTGAACAGAATTAGGCGGGGACCGAGGTCCGGAGACTCCACCTGCACACGAAGCCATCCTCATCAACTACTGCGTCAACCGGATACGAGTCACTGTCCAAACTACTCACAGACTGCACTGGGCGCTGACATTGGCGCCCGGTGACCGTCATCTTTGACGACGCTGATTGGCTGAAATTATATTTTCGCGGCATAGTTTACACGTTACAGATAGCAACAGTCAGCTGCTAGTGGCTGCTGCTGCACTGGTTGAAGGCTCCTCTCTTAGCGCCCAGACGAGAGAAGGTGCATGGGCAAGGCCAGGCAGGAAACATGTGACTTATCAGTAACTTTAGACATCGTAACACAATTTTAAACGAGATTTTATTGTAGATTATACATTTTACTGATACCAATTATATAATATTTACCTTGTTCATTAAAAATAAAAATAAAAATATATATATTTTTTTAAACATATTTTTTTTTTTTTTTTTTTTTTTTTTTTTTTTTTTTTTCAATATGGGAAGAGGTGGGGCGGCGCCCCTAGCGCCCCTATGGACCGGCCGCCACTGCCACTATGTATAAAGGCATGGGCGTAATTTCCACTGGGGACAGGGGGGACATGTCCCCCCCACTTTTCAAAATCCCGTTTGTGTCCCCCCCACTTTTCAAATGTGTTTATTTTTTACGCAAGCGGTCCTCGTCACGGAGGAGCGTCTGTGTGTGTGTGGCACGAGCGCATTTTGTGAGAGAGAGATAGAAAGAGAGACAGAGAGAGAGAGAGACAGAGAGTTACGGGGGTTGTTGTTAGCATTTGGTGCTAGCTCGGAGCTAACGGAGATTAGTAGCTGTTTCAACAATAAGGAGAGGGAGAGCTCTTTCCTGTCGGACTTTGAGAGACTGAGAGAGAGAGAGAAATAGAGAGAGAGAGAGAGACAGAGGGACAGAGAGAGAGAGAGTTACGTGGGTTGTTGTTAGCATCTGGTGCTAGCTCGGAGCTAACGGAGATTAGAAGCTGTTTCAACAGTAAGGAGAGGGAGAGCTCTTTCCTGTCGGACTTTGAGAGACTGAGAGAGAGAAATAGAGAGAGGGACAGAGAGAGAGACTGAGAGAGTTACGTGGGTTGTTGTTAGCATCTGGTGCTAGCTCGGAGCTAACGGAGATTAGAAGCTGTTTCAACAATAAGGAGAGGGAGAGCTCTTTCCTGTCGGACTTTGAGAGACTGAGAGAGAGAAATAGAGAGAGAGACAGAGGGACAGAGAGAGAGACTGAGAGAGTTACGTGGGTTGTTGTTAGCATCTGGTGCTAGCTCGGAGCTAACGGAGATTAGAAGCTGTTTCAACAATAAGGAGAGGGAGAGCTCTTTCCTGTCGGACTTTGAGAGACTGAGAGAGAGAAATAGAGAGAGAGACAGAGGGACAGAGAGAGAGACTGAGAGAGTTACGTGGGTTGTTGTTAGCATCTGGTGCTAGCTCGGAGCTAACGGAGATTAGAAGCTGTTTCAACAGTAAGGAGAGGAGTAGAGGGAGAGCTCTCTCCTGGGGGACTGAGACGACGCCGCGTCATAGCTCCAAAGCTCTTGCCTCTGGACCGACAACTTTTTGGAGCTGGAAGTGAACCGCATTCCGGAGCTATGACGCGCCGCCGCTGCGGTGTGAACAGGAAAAACCGGCGCTTTTCAGGCTCTAGCTCCCAGCAGGAGCTGGAAAAGCACCGGTGTGAAAGGGGCATGAGAGAGATCACGTCCGCTCAGTGAGGTAAAGGACTCTGAGGGATTAGGTTGTAAACTGTAGTCTAAATCAGGGGTTCCCAACCTTTATTGTGCCAAGGACCGGCAGATACATTAAAAAAAAATTGCGGACCGGTTGTCAATTTTAACTGATTTTAATATTTACTCACCACCAGCAGGTAGCAACAGAGGCTAATTGTATGTAACAGCCTGAACAAATACTAGAACAATATGCATCCAAAACATATTAACAAAGTTTAAAAAAGAACCGGTGTTGTTTTTTGGTTTTTCGGAAAACCAAAAAACCGACGTTATTCAGTTTTTAAACCAAAACGGGAAAACAGATAAATCAACGTTTTAGTTTTGTTTGTATGATTTACGGATAATCCAGTGAATGCTGGGGAAACGAGGAGAAGGCGCATTATGAAGGAGATGTCCGGTCGCCAGGGTGTGTGTGTGTGTGTGTGTGTGTGTGTGTGTGTGTGTGTGTGTGTGTGTGTGTGTGTGTGTGTGTGTGCGTGCGTGCGTGCGTGCGTGCGTGTGTGTGTGTGTGTGTCACTGGCATTTGTTTTCAGAAGATATTATGATAGTGTCGTTTGTTCCGGTGCACTCCGACAGCATTTAGCACTACATCGAGATTAAGTTTAAACTAATTTATTTTGGGAACAGCCGCATATATGGAGTTAGCCATATGTGTGTAAATTACTTTTCATAAACATTTGAAAACAAATGCCGGTGTCGGACAGACACAAACACACCGAACACACAGAGCAGAGCTGAGCAGAGCACATACACACACACATCATGCGCCTTGGTGACTGACTGGACATCTCCTTCATAAAACTAATAAAAGGGGGAGTAATCGGGCAGTTCGATGTGTGTAGAGATGTGTGTAGAGGTGTGTGTGGTTAACACGTAGCAGCCTGCAGTCACTCTTAAGCTGTTCTGATGAAGTTAAACACAGCGAAGGCGGTGCGTAAAAAGGCACAGCTTAAACAAATAGCTCTACACCCCTGGCCGACATGTCCTTAAAATGAAGTCCGAGTTTGAAATATATCTCAAATAATGTATGCACCACCATTCCCCCACATAAACATAACAGTCTGCAATGAAACGGTTGTCTCCTGTGCGCTCCTCTTCCTACTTGGCGCACCGGTAACTTTCTTGTGCGCACGAGAGGCTGAGACCTGCTGAGCCGCCGAATCCCTCGGAACACCATAAAGGCCATTTTCAACTGTTTTCTGGTGAAAGTTTAACTAGCTACTGGATAAAATAATATGACTGGTGGCATAGGTGCGAAAATTAAACACTTTTGAAAAAAAAATATGATAAAATATTTTTATATATTTATAATTCTGCAAATATTACGATAAACTCACAGCTATTTCGCGGCCCGGCAGTAAACACCTCCGCGGCCCGGTACCGGTCCGCGGACCGGGGGTTGGGAACCCCTGGTCTAAGTTATCTCAGTGGGTCTCAAACGGTTTGGTCATCTATGTAAACAAATATTTCCATCTATGTAATATTAGTTGTATATAAAATAAGTTAAGAAATCCTTCCAATGTGTACTATAGGTCAGTACAAAAATAAAAAACACAGTTTGAAAGGGGAGTGATTAGTCAAATATGCATAAATAAAAAGAAAGAATGCAGACTAGGTAAGATAAAGATATAGAGAGGAGTTTATCAAATATGTGTTATTGCTTGTGAGCATATTATAATGGTTTTTTGATTATTGAAATATATACAGTTCTGTTTCATTTGATTGTTGAGAGCTGTATCCATAAATCTCTTAATGTTGCCCTCAAAGTGCACCAGATTGATGCATTCAACTTCAATTTAAAGACAAAAATCTTCCCGGGGGTGCATGCCCCCGGACCCCCCAACAGGAGGTAAGGTTATCTCAAATAAAACAGGTTCACATGGATAGGATACTAGATACGTGTGCACACTCATTATATACACTACACATTTTTCTTGGATTTGTTAACACTATAGTCCCTAATATATTTGTAGAAAGGCAGGAAATGGAATTAAATTGAGAAAATGTTTCATTGCGGAGGACCCCCTGTTTTGTGTCACCCCCACTTCTCAAACCAAAGTTACACCCTTGTATAAAGGTAATACAATGTGGTAAGAGATCTCCTCTGTCTGCTATGTTTGCTACAGGTGACTGACAGGCAGAGTGGGCAGGTTATCACTAGGAGTCCATTATATTCTGCATAAGACAGCTTCTCTATTTTTGGTGTAATAGTGTAACAAATACTTTCTAAATGTAGATTAATCAAACTGATCAATTTAAGTCCTATTGTTATGATTCCATTTTTAATATCAGCTGTGTATCTGAGGACTATGTGCCTTTCAGTCAACCTGTTTATTATGCACATTTTTCAATTTGTGTGTGGAAACATTTGCAAAATCTTAAAATATCGCATTAAAAAATGTTACAGCCCATGAATTACAAACATATTACTGCTTGCTATCTAGTTGAGGATTTCTGGTGATAAGGCCACGCAACAAATACAAACTAAATATATGGAACAGAAAATGTATTGTGTGATATTGTCTCTTTGGTTTTTCTGTTTGTTTATAATAGTATTTCACAATAACATCAGATCATTTACTGTTTTAACTCTGTGTCAGCAATAGAAACCCAACATGAAAAGTGGGCTGTTGGTTTTGTTTCATGTGTTCAGGCTGCACAAGGCAGTTGATGGTTCATTATATTTCCGCTGTGGTGCTAAAAGGCGACTTAGGAGACCAATGAGATTGCTCTGAACTGTAACCTCCCACTTGATATGATGACATTATAGTGAATCATTTTTTAATGCGTGTCAAAATTGCACCAGTCTCAAGTGGAATAAACAGAAAATGAGGATTGTATTTTATTTACTGCTGATGCTAGCAGTGGGACGTAAGTACATGTAACATGTCCTATTGATTTTCAGATATGTGTGTTCATGTTTACAATAATTGAGAGAGCTCATTTTTTCTCTGTGGTTAATGTAAAATGTATTTTCAGGATGCACAAAAAACAACAACTTTGAGACAAAGACTGTTGGTGTTGGAGGTTATGTGGAGCTGACATGTCCCCGCAAGTCTTCGGAAAGCTTGTTTTGGATCAGGATTGATTCTGGAGACTTTCCTGAAGTCTTAGGAAAGACATTTAGCCCTAAGAGTAATGATCGCATCACAGCTACAGAAGAGCGTGAACTATTTGTTCTACATATTCAAGAAGCAAAGCTAAGTGATGCTGCGGTCTACTACTGTATTCAAATAAGCCAACAGTTCCTCAGATTCCTGACACAAACTGACCTAAGAGTTAAAGGTAAATACACTTCTTATTTCATTACAGCCAGTTAGTTAGTAACGCATTACAATTCCTGTTTCATGTACTTGAGTTTCTTTTTCCATATAAACAACTAGAATGTAACGTTTTCTTGTCAGTATCATTTGTACTCTTAAGTAGATTTGCAAATAAATGTATGCACTTCTATACTGCAACATTGGGACACACATTTTGAACTACTATTACTTATCTAACTATAATTAATCTTTATGTGAACTCGAGCTCAAATTGACGACAATGATTGAATGACAGCAATAAATAAGAGCCGGTGAAACAATATTTTGCAACTAAGGAAGTATCTTTAATGAGATACTTGTAATCTCACTCAAGGAATATTATTTGAGTCAGTATAATTATGAAGTAATAATACATATACTTGAATGCCAATTTATTTACCTAACACTGATTGCAGCTTTGTTTTAAAAATCATGATCGTATTTCTGTATAACTGAAACTACATTTCCCAGAACCTGAAAGCACTGCAGTTTCTCCAACTGATCCAGTCCGTCCTGGAGGCTCTGTGACTCTGCAGTGTTCAATACTCTCCGACTCCGGGAACAAAACACGACCAGAAGAACAACATTTGTGCTGTTTCAAGGCTTTTAATCAAAGTTTGAATAATACTCGAGGAAACGTTGTTGAAGTACATGAAAAGGAACCAGGTGGACCCTCAAAGAAGAAATGTGTCTACAGCTTATACAAGACATGTGACTGCGATGTGGCCACATGTGAGGACATCATTTCTGGAAATAGATCAGAACTCAACACTACAGGTAACTGCATCATATTTAACTTGAATTAGTAATGTAGCATATGAGATTGATTAAGGTCAAGTAATGGTCCATAACATAATCACTTCGAAATTGCTCCTAATTTCACAAATGTTAATGTTCATTATCTTCTTTTTTCCCCACATTGTGTCAGCAGACTTCATGTTGAATCAGCAGAAGAACAATACCATCATCTCTCTGTTAGGTGCTGCTTTGGCTATATGTGTGATTGTTAATGCCTCTCTCATTTATGCAATCAAGAAACTGAAGGGGAAATCCTGTGGTGTTTGCAACAGTAAGTACATTCACTGATACAAATATATCTATCATATTTGGCAAAAATAGCTTCACATGAATCTTTTATTTTTATATAATACAGCTGCTGTTACTCTGCATACAAATGAAACAACAGCGGGTAAAAATCAGCGAGGTCAGCAGGTAGGGTAAAAGACAAGCCTGTAAAGTTGTTAGCATAGTTTTTCCTCAAAAAATGTTGTCTCATAACATTTCTCTCTATATTTTCACAGACAGATGATGACTCGTTGATTTATTCTGCACCAACCTTCATCCGTAGGATATCAAGCAAAGGGACTGGGGGTGCAAAAGCAATGAAAGAAGAGTGTATCTACACTGATGCCCGGGCTCTTGGGTTGGCTTGATGGTGTAAATACTGGATTTGCTAATAGTTTCATTAATCCAATTAATATATTGGATTGCACTGTATGTATATGTTTTGCAAACATAAGTAATCTTCATGACACAAAAATAATATAAAAGCTAGTGTAAGCTTGTGTGCAACAACTTGCATCATAAAGTTTCAAGTCTTTAAATGTACATTTACCAAATCTGTGTACTGTCTGTGTCAATGCTATGCAAAGATAATTTGTTAATGTGTTGCTTTTTTCCTAATAAATAATTGAATTTTCACAAGAGATACCAAACTGATAAGCAATTGAACCTGCTGCTCTGCTCACACATACAGATACAGCTCAGATGTATGAACATACTGCACATGTTTAACCCCCCCCCCCCCCTTAGTTATTACCTAAACAAGCTCGGCATTATACTTTTGCTCACAGAGGTCAGCCAAACTCAGGTACAAGTTCATTAAATGTGTACATATTTTTTTAACATCATATAGCCTACATAAGTGTAACACACAAAATACCCAATAATCCAGAAGGCTTGCATAAAAACTGTTTTTCCATGGTGATGTCAATATGGATTAAGACTTTTTTTTCAGATAGGTTCCTGTGACCACAGTTGAATTTGGTAATCTGCGACCTTCACCTGTGCTACGCTTAATTTTGAGAGTCAGCGTAAACAGCTCCACTACAAGCAGAGTGCAGAAGAGCCAATACTTCATAACAGAATAATGACCCAATCAAGTGATGTATCTCAATTTGCGTACTTCTGTAGTTGCATTTTCAGTTTGAGTGCATAATAGCGTCCCAAAGTGTATGTGCTATGCGTACCTGAATGTTGCACTCATAACACTGTTGAACTGTGGACACATCTCACACTAATCCATATCGGGCTACTTCAGACGTTGCGAGGCCAGCAGCTATTGCTGTTACTCCGGTGAACACCACATCATATAAATAAGTCAAAAGTGTTTAATGTTTCATCAAAGTTCAACATATGTTTTTATTTTTTAAAAGGTTATGCTTTGAGCCATCTGGGTCTTTTTTTATAGAGACATTTGAAAGAGAGAAAAGGTAGAAGCAAAAGCTGTTTTTCAATGCTGATGTCATTACGGCTTAACATTGATAATGAAACAGAAAGAGGAGCTATGGCCTCGGCCAAGCCATATACACTTGGATGAACACTCCTAGTTTAACCTAGCAAGGGCTCTGTTTTATAATAAATCCATGGAAACTACCACAAGTAGAATTATTACACTGATGGAAACATGAATTCAATACAAAGGAGAATAGAGTGGTGCAGAGATGTCAGTTTTGTGGGCCGACCCAGAAGGTAGCAGGGCAAGGGATCCCTCGACTAAAATATATTGTATTTTTCCATTTGATTTTGGAGTATTTTTGAAAATAGGATCTGTTTATGATACTTGAAGGTTCTGTTCAGCAAGATAATCTTTACATCATGTATATCATTTTTTCTATTATTTTTGAGGCATAAATGCAATGAGCAGAAGTAAAAAGCTTACAATAGGTGATAGACGAACTACATTACATTCACATGGCTGGGCGTCACCACCGCTTTACTCAAGGCTCACTCGTGTTTGGCATGATGACGTTGAGTAGTCTCATTTAGTCAGTTATCATTAAAGCCGGTTTTATGACACGTAGAAGCTGCAGTCGTTCTCAAGTGCTGCATTTACTGACATATTTTATTTAATTAAAAAGATTATTTATTTTTTAAATGATTTTGAAATGTAACCATTTTTTTACTTAAAAAAATGTTCTTTATTAAATAATAAATCAGATTTGTACAGAATTTTTGTAGGATAGTAGTATTTTAAAGTGTCAAAAACAAAGTGACAGTAACAGACTGGAACAAGAACTAGTACTACCAAACAAAGCAGGCATTTTCTTTGTGCCACTGCATCTCACAAATAAACAAGAACATTTAATAATCAGACCCTGCAATAAAATAAATCAAGTTTCACTTTAGTTTTTCAAGTAACTCAAACTCAAACTCACTCACTCAGCATCATCAGACAGGTTTTTTTTTTTGGAATATGAGCATGTCCACATTTCCAGGTAGAAGCTGGGATGTTTGGGCATTTACAATATCCCCTGCTGTGGAAAAAACTCTCTCGCTTGGTACTGATGTTGCTGGGACAGCAGTGATCGCGTTAACCGAATATTTTTTTTTAACAATGACGGAAAAATCTGAAAGCAGTCTGTCATTTTGACAGATTAGAACAAACTCGGAACAGCGCCAAAGTTTCCCCGCAGCGAGGCTCTGGTGTTTGCCTTGTTATGCATGCCCTCCAAAAGGAAATGATATAGTTTCCAAACTGTACTTTGCCGTACAGATCATTGAAATGTCTGGGAGTTTTTGCTTTACGCTGTGCGCGCTCCCGCGAAGTACATGCATGTCTCGGTGGGCATGCATAACACGGAATAACACCGCCCCCCCCCCCCCCCCCCGTTGACAGCGCGACACGTTAGTGGCGAGTTCAGACCCGACGGGTAATAATGGATTGTGACGGAAATCTTACGATCCTGTCTGTCAAAAATGACGGACAGCGAAAAAGTCTAACGCCACCTCTGTGGGACAGAGAGATATGCTTTGTCCATGGGTGACAGCAGTGGGTAAAACTGTGCCTTGTCTCTCCACCACTTCAAAAACAATACAGTTTTTGCCAAGAGGGTGAGGCTTGTTGACAGGGCGAGATATAAATATACTGTTGGTACTTGTCAATGTCTCTAGGTATGTAAATGTAGCCCTGTAAATACGATGTCCTTTTGTGTTATCTGTTGTTTTATGTTCATGTTGTAACCTACTTCCTGCCATGTTGGACAGGTCTCCCTTGAAAAAGAGATCGATGATCTCAATGGGATAAAAAAAAAAAAAAAAGCGGTAGATTTTGTCAGTCTCACGACTGTATTGAGACGTTTATTTATCGCGATACCGCGATATTCGGTATACATACCTAGTACTTACTCATTTCGGGTTTCAAGACTC